GGCTCTGATATTCCACTGCTCTGGGCAGCATTGAACTATTGACACTGAAAAAACCAGAAACATGCCACGGAAACAATCGATTCTTGTTAGACTGGTTTTTTGTTGCTTAATTCTTTCTTAATTTTCCCTTTCTTTCTTTTTCTTTTAAAATGCATTTGGCATTTCTTTTCTAGACCATTAAAATAAAGAAAAACCCATGTGCAGCTCACTGAAAAATACGTATATAATCGAATTTAAACAATTACAATTATATTACACATGCAAAGAAAACCACAAATAAGTATGTAGTATATGGGAGAAAAAGATACATTAGATTGACATTTCAGATTTTATTTTTAATATACAATGTAATTAGTTAGGACAAACTGTGTATTACTTCCACAATGAACAGTACGTTCCTTGTGAATGAATGTAACTCTGTATTTGAACTTTTTTTTTAATTTTATTGAATAAAAGTAAGAATGATTCAAAGAACCGGTAATGAGACACAGAGCTGACCACTACCTTGATTTGGCTCCCATCAGTAATAATGTAAGGGTTCGCATCCAGTAGTTTAACTACAGAAGAGCAGATGCCATGATAGCACCACTATTAACAATGGGATTAACCAATACAGTCATTCACCTTCTCAAGAGAGGGACCAGTGACTGAATGTACAATTGGTTGCAAACTACTCTTTACTCACTTGCACTGAAGAATACTGGTTATTTGTGTGAAACATGTAGTCATGTTATATTTATTCCACAGATACAGTACAGAAAAACATTTTTCCTATCAGCAAGTTGGTTTCTTTCACAAGATGTTCAAATACAAGGGCAAAGCTTTACTGAAACGGAATCCCTAGAAAACTAAAAAACTGATTCAACTTTTTACAAGTCAGTTTTTTAACAAACAAAATACAATTTTGGAATAACTAGAAATTCAGAATTTAAAGAGATGCTTGTGTACTCCACAGGAATAGGAAAAAATTGCTCATAGTTTGGAATGGTTTATTCCTCCATCTGCAAGACTGAATAATGAAGCTTCTCTTAAATGATGCCTATAACATAATGAACTGTTTTCTGTTGGTCGTGCACAACAAAATTTTCCACTTCCACATAGATATGTAAAATATACGTACTTCCTCAGCAAACCAGATTTGATGGCTAAGGAGGTCTTTTCAAAGTAAACTGGCAAAATCTTGAAAATACAAGAATGATGTAAATTGTGCTAGTAGTGAGCATTTTCCTGTGTATGTAAACTAAAACTAAACTGAACTAAACCCATTTCAAACAGTCTGCTCCTAGGTAAACTGACTGTTTAACTGAGCCCCATAAAATGGCTACCTTTCAAACCCACTGTACAGAACTAAATTTTGTGGCTGTTCGTATTTTATCCTCGGCAAGTATGTTCAATTACATTATGCATAGAGAACTATGCACATACTCTGCAAATACTTTTCTTATTTCTAAGTAATTTTCATTTGACAATCTAATTTGCTTTTCTGCTTTGCAAACCAGAGCTGGGAACAAGTTTAGTCTATAAAGTCATCCAGAAAATCTCCACAGTCTTATGTTTTAAATGATTATGCACGAACTAGGCTTACATATCAAATAACAAAGGAAATACCAAATGGGAAGGTATAGGGTTGTCCCACCCTCTGCTGCAAGATTTTACTACAGATTAACTACCCTCACAGGACTTACAAAGCAAACTTAAACCTGAACGTTTCTACATTAAGTATTTAGGTTTTCTTTTTTTTTATTCCTTTCAGTAAAAATCTCCCATGTGAAAGCCATGATTTCCAAAGCCCAAGGCAGGGAGTAGGGAGTGTTTGGATAATGAATCCTCTTCCTTTGGTTTTCACAACTGACACACCCACTACTTTCAATTCTGTGCCATTGATTTGTTGCATTAATACAAAGTAACTGCCATAACCTAACACTGTATGACATGAGGAACTTTCACAAGCTGCAACTTCTCTGTTCTGGTTCTATTATTAAAGATATTTTGTTTCACTGTCTTGTTTTAATTGGCAAAAATTCCTCAGAAACCTTAGTTGGTGGAACACCCTCCCTAGTTTTAAGGAGCCTGCCATTTCTCCTCTTCCTGAGGTCCTTCCCTCCCGAGTTCAGTTTCGGAAGCTTTCCATTCCCCTTAAAAACTAAAAATACCCCCTGCCCCCC